CCATACAAATGATATCTATTTATTTATTCAATAAACACAAAAACATAATAAATAGCATTTTATTAAAGCAGTTATTTTTACCTCATGATGTATTTGTTATTCCGTGGTCCTTGACATATTTAATAAATTGCCACAATGTCAGGGAACACGGGATAACAAATACATCCTGTGGTAAAATAATTGCTGAATTGTTTGCTGAACCGGTTCTTTGAAACAGACTGTTCAAAAGAACTAATTGCAAAATGATTCTGTTTTTCCATCACTGGAGCAGCCCGATAACAGATGTGGATTAGCTGAGATTTGTTTTCTGTTGCAGGAGGCAGGATTGAAGGCGCTGGGAGCAGACGGACTCTTTTTCTTCTCATCCCTAGATACCGATCATGACCTCTATCTCAGTCCAGAGGAATTCAAACCTATTGCAGAAAAACTCACAGGTATTATTCTTGGTGTCTGTGTACTTGCATTAACGTCCTTTCACAAGTAGATATGTCTATTGAAGCAGAATTAAGATGCTTCAAGGCTATGTTCTCCATCAATGTAGAAAACAGAATTCCAGCTGAGAGTTTTAAAGCATTGTTGCAATGCCTGATGTCCATCTCTGTTGCCTGAAGGTGTGGCACCTCCCCCAGAGTTTGAAGAGGAGATACCACATGATCCGAATGGAGAGACGCTGACCCTGCATGCTAAAATGCAGCCGTTACTACTGGAAAGCATGACTAAGAGCAAAGATGGCTTTCTAGGGGTAATTTAAACATTACACATTAATAAATTCATCTGAACTGCTAACAAGGTTATAAACAGACAGGGTGATGATTTAAAAAATATTTTAAAAATATAAAAATGTAAAATACCAATAATAAGAAATTAAAATGTACATGTATTAAAATGCTAAGCTTAAAATAGTTAAAAAAATTATAGAACGTGGACTATTACAAGTTGCATACCCAAAATGTGCTTATAAGGTAAATTGAGAGCAGTGTCTTTCTCATCAGGTTTCACACAGCTCTCTTAGTGGGCTGAGATCTTGGAAACGTCCAGCTGTTCCTTCATCCACGTTTTATGCCAGTCAGTTCAAGGTCTTCCTGCCACCCAGTGGTAAATCGGCCCTGGGTGACACTTGGTGGATCATTCCCAGCGAACTGAACATCTTCACCGGCTACCTTCCCAACAACCGCTATCATCCTCCCACACCACGAGGCAAAGAGGTACAAATGTACCTTTTACATTTTTTTAATTAGTTCAAATTAGATGCTTGAGCTGAATCACATCAACAAAACCCTTTTCATTTTATATTACTTTGGTTTAACCACATTGTTGAAAAATGAGTGATCTGAGGTTGTCAAGATCTATTTGATCAAGAAGACTGATTCAATTTCTGTTTAGTTGGTGGATAGATGATGTGATTATTTCATTTCTCTGCAGGTACTGATCCACTCTCTGCTGAGTATGTTCCACCCGCGGCCTTTTGTGAAATCCCGCTTTGCTCCACAGGGGGCTGTGGCTTGTATACGGGCTGCTAGTGATTTCTATTATGACCTTGTTTTCAGGCGAGTTAAAATAAAACATGCCGTCATGTTTGAATAAGGTTTTTGTCATCCAGAATAAATGGGATTTTCTTAAAATCAAGTAGAAGTTTACTTTGTATGTCACTTAAAGAATATCTGATTGTAACTTCAGTTTTAACTTTATTTTAATTTTGAGCCTCCAACTGAATCTTATCTTATTGCGTTACTAATTACAGAATCCATGCTGAGTTCCAGCTAAATGATGTTCCAGGCTTTCCATTCTGGTTCACTCCTGGGCAGATTGCTGGTAACATCATCCTCTCCAAAGATGCTTCTCACGTCCGAG